GAAAGTGTGATGTGGAAATTTCATGGTGCTTGTGGCTTCCAAGGACTTATTTTCTGATAGCCAGAAGGAACCATAAACCATAAAGAAATGGAAGACCATAGAGGGCTGGTTAGGCTGGCTATCTGAAAGGATGCACCAAGGGGTAAAGCTGCTCAGGAATGAGAATTTCCATTTTCTGGGAAATTATGGTTTTCCAAGATTTAGGTTCATCCTAAAATAGTATAGGGAACTTTTAAGGAGAAAAAAATGTAAAATCTATTTGAAAGCTGTCAAAATGAAGAATGTTGAGAGGAACAAAACGGTTTGCTTCTGAGTGTCGATATTCCTGTAAAAATATCCCAAAGAAAATTTAGAAGTTATAGCTGAAAAGTTTCTCTTTTTCTCTGTTCTATTCATGGATACAGGCTGAAATCCCTCAGGGCTTTTCCTGCTAACTTACTGATAAAATGCCATCTGCATTATATAAAATATGAATGTCTGACAGACATTTGGTGTTGTTTTCTGATGACCTGATGAAACTATACAGCATCTCATCTGCACTTTGTCTTTATTCTGGCAGTCAAGTATTTGAATGTTGTGATGGGAAGCAGTGAGTATAGTATGAAAATAATTCAAAGTGCCCTTTAATAATAGACTTCTTTCCTGCTCAAGACACATGAGAATTTGCAAAGAGACATTTTGGAGACATATAGAGTTCAGAAGAATGACCTTACCTGTATTTCTGATGCAACCAATTTGTTTCTATAAACTATTTCTTCCAGAATATGAATCAAAGAACCTGCCAGTTTGCTGGAGTTACTTAACTGTTAGAGGAGGTTTCTGGTGTGTTTGTGGCAATAAAGTCTCCTTAACCTTAGGGAATGAAAGCAAATTTATGGCCTAGTACTACAATGTGTTTAGTGTTTTCAGGCCTAGGTCTGGGTCTAGGGGATTATTTTTGTTCACTGCAGTTTAATATATTAAGCATAGTTAGACTAGTTAGACTGTGGTATTCATAGCATAACAGATTGCTGGAGAACAGGATTGCAGAGGGTCTCTGGAGGTTGTCTAGTCCGTTCCCCACTCTAAGACAACATCAAATTGTATGTATATCCTCTCTCAGTGAAGAAGATTCCACAACATCCCTAAAGAGTCTATTTAATTACCTCTACTTGTACTGCCTATATCCCTTGAAAATTTTTACTGATGTCTATCCTACCAAGTCAGTTATTCTTAAATATTAACTTATGTAGTAGATTATTGCTGACTCGTATATTACAGTAATCGCCACACTTAAATTGCATCTTATTTTTTTTAAGACTATCTCACACTGTTCAAGATGCTCTGGAATGCTATTCTTCTGCAACACTTTTGGAACCTGTCGCATCAATGTGCAATTTAATAATGCCACAATCTCTTCTATCATCTAATTCATTAGCAATGCAGAGTATCAGACTAGAACAGTCTGTTGTGGAATCTACCTGATTCAGCTTTTGAAGTGAACCACTGATAATTATTCACTCCAATATGACTTTCCAAGAGGTTTTGCACTCACGCTTTTGTAATTTCCCCCAGTCCATGGTTTATTCTTTTAACTTTCAGGATGTTATAGGAGGCAGTGTCAGAAACCTTACGAAAGTCAAGATATGTGACATCTACTGCGTCTTCGATGTCCACAAGGTCTATTACCCTGGGGAGGAAGAAAATTACATTAGTGTGGCACAACTTGTTCTTGATAAATGTATGCTGGCTGTAACTCATCTCCTTGTTACCTACTAGGTACTTACAGGTAGTTCTTTTGATTATTTGTTCCAGCATTTAAAGTAATATGGTTAGAAAAGTTGCCAATTAACACATCCTCTCTATCCATCTTGTGGCACATGCATTACCTGAGCCTGCACTGAAATGTGGATTTTGTCAATTTGCCCTTGTCCTAATAATGATAGAAATAAAGCTGTAGATTTGTTTACTCCTTTCCTGGAAAGAATGTGAACTTTGGGATGAAGTCTGCAATCCAATTGAGACATTTCCCCCTCTCCCTCTCTCTTTTAATAGGGAAATTTAACCAGGAAAATTGAAATTCCATAGACATAATTTGCTCTGTGATGGAAATATTAGGCTTTTTAAACACAAATATTTAAAAAAGAAGAAAAGTTTTTTTTAAAAAAAAAAAATTAAAAAAAAAAGGAGTGAATGAAAATTTTTCTCCACCACTTCTCCAAACCCTTCCTGCAAAACGAGACTCTGGATGGTGAAAGAGGCTGAGCTACTTCCTTGCATGACAGACAGACTAACAAGCCTGAGGGCTGATGCTGGCAGGAGCAAAGTTTAAGAAGTGCACCCAGACAAAGGGAGGGTAAGGAGCATCCTACACAGTTGCGTTTCCAAAGCTTTCCTTTATTTGCTGAAAGTCATTAACCAGCCCTCTGTAAGACCAAGCTGCCTGCAAAAGCAAGTTCAAGCAAATTCACTGGTGCATTGAGTATGTTTTACACAAGGGAACTACAGCTATTTGTGCAGATGCCTTTGTGCAAGCACTGATTCGTCATTATTGAAACTTCACCCAGCTGTCAAAATAGGAAGAAACCAAGTCCATTCAAAAAAACAGGCAAACAAAAAAGAAAACAACTTATTTTAGACTGTTTAATTAAAGTAATTCCTTTCGTTTTCTTGCTACTCCATACAAACTTTACCTTGGAGTTTATCCTCCAAGGCTTTGCAATCTAGATGAAATGGAGTTAGTTCCATGTTCAGATATTTGTGGTGTCCTACGCACATATTGCTAACAACAATCTTGGAGACATAGCAACAACTCTGCTCTTAGTTTTGTAAAAAAAAAAAAAATACCTTCCACTACAGGAAGCAAAATATGTTTTCTTGAAGTTTATGTGAAGCTGCAGATTTGTATCTTCTAAAGGAAGCCAACCAACTTCCTGGTTCTCTGTGGAAACGCATGCCAGGCAGCGCTTAGGGCATAGATGGATTGCCATGAATGTTTTGGATGAACATCGGAACCAAAAAGAATAAATGGGCCAGTACAATTGATAGTGGATTTGCTACGTTTGCTGTTGTATTTTATTTTTCTATCCATGTTTAAGTTAGACATGGCAGCACTTCTCTCCTAATGTCTTCTTGTTGGGGATTTAAAGGAATGAAGCTAGTGTCTCAATCGGTCTCTCTTATGCATTGATTTCATTAGCTAACTAGATGCTGGGACTTGATGCATAGCCCCTTGCAGTTGGAAAGAGGTTTTCCATGGCATAAAAGGACTGTTTTGTTTTGGATCGGGCCTTGGTGCATGATCTGCAAAGAATCATTTACTGGTGAGAAATATTGCTTTTAATTCACAAGTAAGCTGCTGTGAGTAGATCACTATTTGGAAGTATTTGCTTGCTCATGTTTGAATTACTCCTGGTTTGTCAGTGATTTTTTGAGGAAGTAACTAAATCGCTGACATTCAGAGACCTCCTCATCCTGTTAAGTCAGACCCCAACTCCACTTGACAGCTAAGCTGGCATCTCAACCACCGAGAATTGTACATAGGACAGGCAGGATTGATGCTACTGTTCTTCCCCATACGTATACAATAACTTTGCTGTATAGGTCCATCTGACCCTTTTGAACTATTATGCTGTAGCTCAAGGGTGAGGAAAGAGGAACAGCCCATTAATTTGGCCACTGGCTGGAGGTGCACTTTTGTTCTGCTCCTTCATCCACTTTGCTCCAGAACCAGTTAACTGGTTCTAATCATCCTTTGTCTCAAGGCTGAAAATGGAAGAGGGGACATGCTTCAAGTACATATTATAGTGAATAGTTTTGGGAAAATGAATGGAGAATAATTCTTAACTGCTTCTCTTAACATGAATATTGGGGCCACTCACTGAAATCTTCCTGCAGTAGAGTTAAAACAGGTAAAGGGAAGTTTGATATATATATATATATATATATTTTTTTTTCTTCGATGTGTCACACATTAATTTGTGGATACCATTCTAATAGGACATTGAGAAAGATCAAAGGTACAGATAGGTTAAAACAAACAACAATAAGAGGTTTGAACAGAGTCGTGTCGGACAGATCCTTCAACCATGTTACAAAAATGGTAGCCCAGTTGCCAGGTGGGCCTGTTCAGGGAGATTATAACCTACTGACTACTGAGAGCCATGACGATGCAGCAGGGAAAGATCATCCTCAATTTGCCCAGTCCTTTACTTGTTCCTTAGCTACTGGCTTGTGCTCTTCTGGCATGATACAAGAGCTTTCTCCCTGAATCACCCACTCTGTAGCATAGTTCTCACTAAATATGAATCACCAAGTATGGGAACTCAACCTTCCCTTCCTCCAAGTAGTTCTGAGAGCAATTCATGAGCTTGTCTGAGCGCTTGCAGGAAGCCTGTGTTCCCTAGGCTAAGATGTGTGGCCAAATTAAATCATTTTTAAATTGGTCTTAATGCTAATAAGATTTTTTTTTTTGCAGACCTCATCATATTCTGTTTCACATGCAAATCACTCTCCTTAGTTCATGAAAAGCAGTTGTTTCTTTAACCCTCTTTTTGAATAGGTATGTGTTCTCATTTCCTGTATATCTCAAATACCTGACCACAGTTCCGTGTTATTATTAATGTAATACTCATAATCATTATAATAACTGTCTTCTTCATTTACACAGTGCCATTAGCCAAGCCTTCCAACCAGTCAAATGTGCCAGAGAAGGAATTAGGTCTTTTCATTAACAGACTAACAAACTGAAGGCATGACAGGGCACAGCGTAATAACTAGAATATCAACAGGCTTGGAAGCGAACAGGGAAGTAGTGTAGGGTTATTAGTCCTTGGAGAGCTCATCCAAGGAGATTTTTCATGAGCTTCTCACAGAAGAGCATGGGCATTTTAGAAACATACTTGTTTCCACAGAGTAGTGTGTGTTGTGTGCATTTTAAAAGTGCAAAGAAGAGACAAATGCCTAGTTCTCCTGCATTTCAGTGGAAGTTAGAGTGGAACAGCTCTTTGAACTGTTTTTAGATTGCTTCCTTCGGGATGTTGAGGGATGCAGCCACTGCTTTGGCAGGTAAGTTCAGGTGCACATTAAACAATTATATTTGTTTGTATTTTTATTAGTGCCCCAGGTAGTTTCAGCGTCGGACATGATAGTACAGAAGCTTGGTTCAATGAATACAAATGTTTTTCTCTGATTTTGTTCCCTGTTCTGTTTTGGATGAGCTCTTCCTCTGCTTCTGTGTGACACCTTGTATACTCTTTGGTTGTTCAATGATTGCAACACAGGCATTATAAAAACATGCAAGCCTTTGCTGCTTTCAAAAAAAAATTCCCATGCTGTTTTTTATGATGCTTTCTGGCTATTTGCAAATTAAAGTCAGAGGAGAATGGCGCAGGCTGCTTGCTCAGCAGTTAGCAGAGTGGAGCAGAGCTTCCCTTGTTCTGCCCATGGGCAACTCGCCCGCTCACAAGACGTTCGCCCAGGGGTGTGATGGAGGGAGCCAGTGTGTTTCCAGATGTCTCTGAGGGCTGAGTCTTTTTCTCCTCTGATGTTTGGCATCTCCAATAGAGCTGTTTTAAGTTCTTTTGGTGCATTTAACCAGGGGATGAGTGCTGCAAGCACATTTAAAAGTGCCACTAGGTAAATGTTTGAGGAGTCACATGGAGGTCAGAGCTCTTTCATGTGAAGCTCTGTGGATGTCAGCTCCTTGCATGTTAGCAATTCCTCTGCCTGGTGCTGCAAAGATCACCTCTGGATCTCTCCTATGTATTACCCCAGGGGTGTGGGACAACTTCCTACTGCTCTCACAAGGGGGTCTGTTCCACCATCTGAAGAAATGACAGTAAGAAAGACCTTCATCCTTCTGCCTTGCAGTGAGCCCCTAATACTCAGTGCATCCTTTCCAGCAGCCAGTCTTTCCTGGAATCACTGGCTTCTGCCCTTGCTCCCGGTCAGCATGTTGCCTTCCTGTGCTTTCTGTCTAGCTAGAGCCAAACTTAGTGCTCCAGCAAGATTCAGCAGGAGATTTGCTGAATTATTGTAAACACACTGGGACAGGAGTTGTGCCTTTCTGCTCATCACTGAGGTCCTCTGCATATTGATTGTGCCTGAGAGAAAATAAAAAATGAATCCATTCATATTGATTACATCTGTTCTTACTCACTGTGCAACTCACTGTACAGCCCCAGTAGATTTATGGTTTCCTTTTGTGACTAATAACAAAAAATCCATTTTTTTTTCCTTTCTCTCTTTCTCTTTCTTTTCCTTTAAGTAAGCTTATGTTCTGCAGAATGAATTTTGAGTAAAGGGAGTGGATTGTGAAATAACTTGTGGGAAAGTCTGACGAACTGCCTTTAATTTCCCACTCACTTAAAGAAATTCCTCTTTGATATATTTGTGAAAACCAGACATTCCTTCCACATGCAGTTCAGATGTGCTGGGCCCACCAGGCACAAGTTTTGTACACCAATGCACTTCTAATGAATGTACAGTTTCTTCCCCAATACAGTTATGACAGATATTATAGCTGGGGACTATACATTCAGAGTGTTACTTTTCTTTTAGCTTGGGAAAACACAGATATTTGCATAGTTCCAGACACATTCTGGAAATTTCAGGATTTTAAGCAATACAACCTTGTTTATTATTTTCTTTTCAAAATTTCTGCTCAAATGCTATGTATCTTTTGCAGTTAATGGTGTTGTGAGTCTTAGGCTCACTGTATGGATTTAAATTTCAGTCAGAACATCCGAGTAAGAATTTGTTTTATGAGTAGGAACTGAACAATCCATTTTTAAAAAAATCTATATTGCAATACTAAATTGATAGCATAAAGTTATGAACCCTAAGCAGGGTTGATGTTTGTGCCTCTCAGGCACTGAGAGCAGGTCTGAACTGAACTGGCAAGTTGGAGGGAAGCAGAAAATAGTGCCCTCCTGAACAGAAAGGAGCCAGATGGAGTGACACCAAAGATGGAATAAAACAGCCAGTTAATGGCACTGCACAATTGCTCTGGAGAAAGAAACAAAAAATAACTGAAGGGTATGAATATTAATGAAGGTTCAGTGAAGTAAAAAACATAATGAAGAGGAAAGCACAAAATGAAGGCAAAGTTTAAGCCTGCTATCGCAGAAAAGATACCCTACTGTTGACATCTGCTAGGCTCCCGAAGAGTCTCCCTTAGAAAGATGGTGAAATCCCCTCACTTGACACTTTTAAAAATAGACTAAACAAACCCCGGTGAGGCAGACTCTCATCCCCTTACTCACACGGGCCATAACTCACTCCAGCAGCCGTCCTGAGCTCCCGGGAGCGTGTGCAGGATGAGCAGCAAACGCGGGTCCCGCGGTGCTGGAGACGGGGACGAGATGAATTACCAGCTCGTTTCACCACTTGGGCCCTGCTTGGACACGCTGCACTAGCAGAGTTATGAGCTCTAGAAAAATACTTAAAGCAAAGCGTGTATTAAAGGGCTGTGCAGAAGCAGGGTGTAAAGGGCTGCACCCGGCAAAATGCAGAAGCCCTTCCATTCAACCCCTGCAAATCTCCGACAAATGCATAAAACAACTTTTCCACTCCTTACGTAGCTATGAGTGATGACAGTATCTCTCCCATCTCCAAGAGGAAGTAACCATTTGCCGATAAACATCTCTTCTCCAAATGTACTTAGTAAAAAGACTCATTCTTTTGTATACATTTAATTACAAGAGAACAGATTTTGTCCAAATAATTAGGTAATTTAAATTGTGCAGTCTTTTCCAAAGAACTATATTTAACCTTCATTTGAATTTAATTTACACATCAGAGTGCCCCTTAAGCAGTTTTGTAAGCCAAAACACTGATCAAATATTTTTTTAAATGTCAAATGCTGCTTAATTGTGGATAGCACTGAATTTGTTTTTAGAGATAACTGCTTTTGATCTGCTGCTATTTTTTGCCTTTCCCATTGTCATGTTACTCTTCATCTGAGGTTTGTCAACTGTTTAATCCATGCAACACCAGAGTTTCTAGACAACTAAAGAATTCAAAGAACATGTCGAGGGGGAGAAAAACCTTCAGAAGTTTGACAAAGTATTAAACAGGATACAGATTAGTGTCTTGCTACTACAGATCCCAGCTGTTGCAAAAAAAAAATTAGGTGTTATTAAAGGATTATAAAATTTTGCCTGAGTTAAGGGGAGTGCTCTAAAGGATAGTTTTACAGCACTAATATAAATCAGCAAAGCTTTACTGGCCTAGCTGCACCTATTCTGATTTACACAGCTCAGGATCTGGCTCCTTCTAACTGTGTCTTACACTGAAGAGAAACAGATCATTTTTCTCCTGACTTGCTCTTTCCCATTGTCTTGCCCCTGTAAATTATATATAGTAGGTTCACAAGCAGTGCAGTAAAAGTAAACAGCAAGAGATGGAGTCTCACAGTTTGAATGAATTATAACACAAACTAGAGTAGGTCTGACCTACATTAAACTAGTTCAGTAGAACAAGCTCTGCATGAAGTGGCTTGTATTTCAAGGTTGTCTCTAAGGTTGGTTCTCAATATAAAAACAGGAATGATTCCCAAGGATCAGGATAGCGTTATCAGTCTCTTTGGAACAAACAAAAGCTGAAGTATTCTCCACAGCTCAGCCATAACAACAACAGAGCAGGAGGACTTTCCTGTAACAACATCTCCCACTGGGTGATAGTAGTTGAAAGTACTTACGATGATTATGATTAATTTCATTAGTCCTCAATTCACTTTAATACTTTTTTTCCCTCTATCTCTGAGTGCAGATAATTTTTCCCTGCAAGTAAATCCAGGGCGACAGTTTAATAGGCTCAGACATGCTTAGATCTGAAACGAGACTGTAATATTAATATACTATTGACCAGTTATGGATTAAGCAAACTGAGGGCACACTTAAGTAAATGACTTCAGAGGGACAAGTTAATGTGCTAAGTGGTTCATAGGCAATGATTAAAAATATTCTTCATTTACTTGGAAATTAATAGGTATCTTTAATTAATCTAATAAAGCCAGCCTATGTTATGTTACAAATTTTGTGCATGCTTCAAAGATGCTGAGTTGCTCATTCTGGAAATCCCTGTGACACTTATTGTAGAAGGGAAACAGTTATATATAAAGTCAGCCTTGCAGATGGCCTGAGTTTCCAACAGGGCATCATCTTTTCCGCAGGAATGGTTTACATTCATCCATTGCATGAGGGTGTTACAAATCTAAGAAGTTAGAAATCAAGAGCATCAACAACCCTACATGTAAATTTAGGAGTCATCCAAGATTTCTTGGGTTTTATATTTCCCAAATGTATCTAGTCAAATAAGCAGTTTTTCCTCCAATGTGTCTTTCAAATCCAGTCAATCAGCCAAATAGAAAAAATGAACAGCAACAACAGAAATCTATGTTCCAAGAAGTGCTAAAGCTTTGAGTAGCTGACATCAGTTTTGCATTACTTAACCAATAGATGTTGAGCGAATATTATTAGCTAAAATATAGAGTTAGTTCACCACTGACAACTTTAGAATGGAGAGATCAGTTTAAAATCAGTGCCTCACTAATAATCTTACTGCAGTTTGCACTGCTAGAGCACCTTGTCACTTGAACGTTGTGCCTGTTGCAGAACAGGGCTCTACTGACTCTCCAGGGTAGTGTGAGCTCTGAAAATCGCTGTCAATATATTTGTACTTAGAGTGTTGACTGGGAGTAATACAAGGCGCTCTAAATCCAAAGTAGACAGAGTTCATGGCCTTTGCCTGGTCTCTTCATGGTATCTCACCCCCAATAAGGGATCCTCTACTGGAAAATTGCACTTTTTCCAGAGTAAAGGTAGATCTATACAACTGAAAAACTTATTTGAATTCTGATCTTGTGATTAACTTTAACACAAGACCCGTTTATCTTTCAACCCCTTCTGCCTAACATCCTATCTTGTGATCATTCCACCTCTAATGATGTTTTGGAAAATCAGAATCACTTTGATTTAACCACTTCAAGGCACAAAGAAACTATGAAACAGGGACCAAAGATGCTACCTCTCTGTCTCCCCCTTGCCCTAATTAGTACAAAATAAGATCCTTTCTCTTTGGTTTTCCCAGCAGTTTTCACATGCACATAATCAAGCAGGAGAGGCTTCCTTGGTTTCTGCTACCTGCACCTTCGTGAGCCGTGGGAACAGGGGAAAACAACTGTCTTCCCAACACTCACTGGGGGAAAGTTGCTACCCAGAGCATCAGTCCAGCACATTTCTATTTGCCAGGCAGAAGCTGTCCAGTACTGACCTGGCAGCAGTGAGAAATGTTTTAAGAAGCTGTGCCCAAGTATGTACAGTACACATTGGCTGGGAGGGAAGCAGTGGAGGGGGTAAGGACTTTTGACTTAGGATGCCACGTTAGAAGTTCTGCAAAACCAAGCCCTGTCTACTGTTTACATTCAGCCCTCTTGCCCCAGGAACATTTGCATTGGAAAGCTTTCAAAGTTTTCTTTCCAAGTTAGTTAAAAAAAATGCTATTGGAGTTGAGAAAACCTTTTTGGACTTATTCCATCTTCCATATACGTGGATGCAAGTATGTATGTTTGCATGGCAGGAGGGGAAGGAAGGAGGGGGAAGCACTTTCAACTTGCAGACAGATCCTTCAGTGGGTGTAAAAGGCGTTTGAAATCCACAGAGCCAGGTTGTGTTACAAGTGCTGAGGGTCTGCTCAGACAGCTGTAATGTGGTGCCGCATTGTGGTTTGGAGAAACCTGCACATGGCTGTAAAGAAGGAAAAACAGAAAGAGATATTTGGTAGCGGTCCCGTTTCTTTCATGTGTGCAGGACAGCTGTGCAGCTGCAAGAAGCAATGCCGGCAAATTCATCGGATATGAGCTTTTTCTCTCTCTTTTGTGGGTCCGATCCCAACAACCAACTTCTCTGAATATTTGTGGCAAGTTTTATTGGAGGTATGCCTGCTCCTTTGCATTTGCAACTGAAGGTGGCAAATAAAATGTTTAAGTGTTGCTGTAGGCAATTTTGTCACCAAGCCTGGAATGAAGCAGCTTGTGAGAGGTCTTGAAAAGCTCTTCTGAAGTAGAGCATGGGTGGACAGGGCTTGCTATGGGCAGGCTTTGCAAACGTGTCTTCCCTTTTGGATACAGAAACAGAAAAAGGGAATCGCAGTATCTCCTTTCCTCATGACTGAAATAAGGTGAGGCAGAAGAGCTTTGTGTTCCTGTGTTTACAAACATGACTATGGTGAAAAGCAGGGATTTCATTAGAGTTTCCTGGTTGTGATCCCTCATGTCTTTTATTCCAAACACTCACCTCCTGCTATACAATGTGGGAGCAAAGCATCACTTTGCTGCAGCACGCATGAGAGTCCACAAATCTATGGCATGCAAAGGACACGTGATGGGGAGGCGACTCTGATTCCCAGTTGAGCGGGGTGAAGCAATTTCTATACTGGGGTTCAGATAACAACCATGTGCTCTCAGGGAATGAGGATAAAAATGTTAACATGAAAACTGTGGTAATACCTCCTGTCGTTCCTTATCATCTCATTCACCTCTCTGGAAGGCCATGGTGGTATTATGAAGAGGGAGAAAAAGTTGGGAGTTTGGGTTCATAGCTCTGCTACTAGCCTACACATGGTCTACATCAAATCTCTTTGCCTAACAGCATCTCTCCGTAGAATTAGTGTCTCTATGAGGGAGTGATTTGCCTTTTAATATGACAATTATCTACTGTAATTTCTCTATAAGTATTCTTAGTTTTATCACATAATCTAGAATAAACAGTCTTCATTAAAGATATCCTAGCAGCTGTTATTGTCTTATAAATGAGCTATTCAGACACCGAAAGCTACAAATCCAAAGTAATTTACCTTGGGTCACGATTTAGTTGTACCCATAAAAATCATACCCCTTTTTCTAATTTGGCCAAAAGGAAAAGGCTCTGCTTCTGTGGTGCCATCTGACATGGGAAGTGACCCAGTTCCCCACTAGCCCAGGAATCCAGGCTTTACTAATGGCTGGGATTTGATTATGCTCACATGGCTAGTTTCTGAGAGGCGCTGGTAAACTTCGTTTTGCTTCAGTTATTAGTTTTTAAGGCTATGAAAGGTCAAGATAAACCATCCATAAATGCAGCAGCGATTAAAACCTCACTTAGCTTATTGCACAGTATGTAATTGTTCATCCTGTGTCACATAATAAAATCTGGTGGAGATAACTGCATAGAGTTTGCTTTCATTTAAAGGAACAGGCATGCACCACACATACTGTTCCCTACATGCTCATCACTGCTGCTTCAGTTTAGATATGTATAGTTTAATAAAATAGGGAATATCTGAGTCTGAATGCTTTGGGGGTCTGCCATGCTCCTATGGCTACCTTTGTCGTATAGCTCTCATATGGCAGGAATAGAACAATATAATAATAGTCTGTCTGATGGTGATGTGCTTAGGAGACAGCTGATGACACTGACTTTGTGGCTTACAGGTTCTCCTATTTGTGAGCAAAGTTGAGAAATCCAAGCATTTAGAGCTCCCATTTTCCTAAGAGCTCAGCTTTCAATTACTGCCAAAAAGTAGGAGCCAATTTTCCAAAGAGCTCCATATACTGAATGCCTCTGACATAGGCTGGCTTGAAAATGCAGCTATCACACTCATCCTAGGAGCTGAATGGCTTGAGAACAGCTGGATGTGCCCGGAGCACCCGGGGTGTTAAAAGTCTGTTCCTGTGTCATCCCATGGCAAGTGTGTGTCACGCGGCTATGACTGATTGCTGCTCTATAGCACAGGGCACTTCTGTTAAAAACTGGCACTGCATTTGGTGTCAAAAGGTCTGCGGGTACTGCCCTCCCCGTCCCAGGTGAGCTGGACTCCAGCTTCCCCAAGCCTCGCGTTGCTGTGCAGATGATCACAGCCGTAATCTCTCCTCTCTTTTTGTGTCTTTAGCAAGACAGCCTGCAAATGCAGAGCCTAAACACTGCAGAAAGAAATCTGACTCTTTTGTTCCCCAGACTCCTGACTTAGTCTGCCACTCTGCCAAAGCTAGTTACCAGCGTGGCAGCTGATAAATAAAGAGCAGGCTGCTGTTCTCTCTGCACGGTAAGTACCCTGTAGCTGTTAATGCATCCCTTGCTACCGTGGCCCCTCTCTTTTAACAGGTTCTCTGAAATAACCAGCTGCTAATGCGGCTGCTACTGAGTACCCACCTTTTAAAAGTTCATTCCCACTGCTTGCTTCAAAGTCGCCACTGCCACTGCCAAAACACACAGGGCAGCAGCCAGCAGAAAAAAACTATGCTCCTTGCCGGGAGTTTTTCCCCGGGAGGGGAAAAACAAACATCAAATCCCACCATGGGTTGCTAGTAGAGGATTGATGACTTGCAGGAGAGGGCAGTTGGGTGGCTGAGGTCTGGTTTGGTTTGCTTGAAGTAGTATGGCCCTCACAATGTACCTGCCCCTCTTATTTCAGCTTCCCATGGAGATGTTTGTCTGCAGACCCCTTGCTTTCCTCCTCACAAGCATGATGTCCATATGGTGTCTTTGGTGATGTTTTGAATGTTTTGGAGGAAGCCTCTTTCTAGAGCCTCACTCCAACACAGTGATCCAGGAGATCTCTATCTCGGTAGCTGAGAACCTGAGATGATGTGAAAGAGTATAAATGTACTAGCAAAGGCTTCTGTGGGTACTTAAAGCTCTGCTAATGCTCCAGACTGGGAGTACTGCCATCCTGGCAGAGAGCAGGGTGCCCACCTCTGACCTATGCTTGTTTGGATTCACAAAAATATAGACTTCTCTCTTCCAAAATCCCCTATTCCACAGGCCTTGCTTCTAAGCATGCTCAAAATATATGTAACCTCTCTGCTAGACAGAACTAAACTTTATTCAAAACCACTTTCTGCACAGTGTCCTAGTGGTTAGAGAATCTCCTCTGGAATTAAGTTTGCGATCAAGCCTCTCCTCAACCTGAGAGTATTTTAATATGCATTTTCCATCTTTCAGGGCACACCCAAACCATCAGTCAGTCCGCTCTATGCTGCTCTGTGGCAGAGATGCTCCCTTCACTCCTCCTGCTGATGCTGAGAAATTTTGAAGCCAGATAGGAAACGCTTACCTAAAGAAAGCATGCTCTGTGAGCAGGCGAGGAAGGCTCTCATATGGGAGAGGGCAGATTTCTATCTTGGTTCTTGTCCCTTACATTAGATAATTCAGAGAGCAGGAGCCTGAATTTCAGCCCATTTCTAACTTGCCCTAGCCCTGGGCTCTGGGCTCAGATTTCCTCTTCCTTGCCCTGTGGTGCTGTGGCCTAACCACTGCATAGACAGTTGTGCAGTTGTACAAAATGTGTATTTCCTCTGCTCCCAAATGCACAACTTGGGCATTTAAATAAGAGGGTTTGTCATAGAGAAGTCCAGACTTTTGCTATGAGATAACTACTTCTGTATGGGAGAAGAGTGATGCTTTGCAGATATCCCTCAGCTGTGTTTTTTAATAGCTTGCTTAACACACCATTTTTCTATGGATTCATTTTCTCAGTGCATAATGTATAAAACAGGGTAGGTGTGCAATTTAGCTTCTCTAGATCCGTTTTTGAGTCAGATACCTGAATTCTATATTACATCATGAATTGCATTTCAGGTTTAACCGAGAGCTGCTGTTTCATACTCACTCTGTGCCATAAAGAACACTTGATGAGTGCGGAGGTGAATAACAGCTGCCCACAGAGGACTGGGGAAACAGCTACAACAACTGCTATTAAGAGGTAGTTCAGGTGAGTGGCTGATGGCAGGGAAGAGCAGAGCATCTTTGAACTACAGCTGGAAAGACAGACAGATTTGGAGTGGAAACAAAACCTGTAAGCAGGTAAAGCATCACTGAAACAGAACCTGCGAGATCTAATTAAGGCTCAGGAGCCAGGAAGAGATTTGGAGGGACAACGGGCATCTGGGGGCAGGGTGAATAAGAGAAAGGAGGTCAAGAAAATCATCAAATTATCAGGAAGGAGCCTTGGCATGTTAGATCAATTGCAACTGTAGCATTTAATTCCCTCCACCACAAAAACAATGAGGAAAGCAGATGAGAGAGCCTAATATTTTGGCAGCACCTGCTGCCTTCTGAAGAGGCAGATGCTGCCAGAGTGTTAGCTTTTTATCCTCTTTCCTCCTTCCTCTTGTTTTTTGTGATGGATTGAATTAAATTTGGGGCTTAACACAGGGTGCCTGTGCCAGGGCTCTCTGTTGACCATTTCATGAAGCTTGGGTTTGTGACTGCATTCTTTACCCAACTCCCTGTTGTACAGGCTGGCAAGCAGCTTTTTCTCCCACAATTGCGCTAAAGGGCAGATCTGAACAAAATTTCTGGAGGTGAAGAGCAACCTGAATTGGAGAGCATGAGACAGGCAGAAGAGGGATAACAGTAAACCCTCCTGGATTAAGTTTTTACTACAAATCCACCTAGAAATAGTGATTGTGGGAACTGGATCCATTAGGCTGGATTGGAAGCAAGGAGCTGTTGCTAGCTGTGAAACAGGGAGCAGAACAGGGAGTACAGGCTTTGGCTCAGGCTCTTCCCCTTGCTCCAGTGAAGGCTCCAGGAGCACACAGATGGGATGTGGAGGATAATAGCTGTGCTGGCTGAGAAAGGCAGAAGTCACAGAACTGTGGCACAGGGAAATGCTACAGAAACACCCATTTTATCACTGACCGGTGTATTTGTGAACTGGGGGAAGCAGTGTCCTTTCCTTCCCACCGCAGTTTGCCTGGCGATGTGTAAACTCCCTCTAGCTGCGCCCTGGGTGTTTTCCTCCCCAGTGCAGCCCAAAATTGTTGCTTGCAGAAGTAGTTAAAATTAAGTGCCAGCTCCATAGCAGGACTTGGAACCCACCTGATTCTTGTCTGTGAGGTACCTAATCATCCAGTGAAACTGTCATTTCTTTGGGTTGAAAGCAACTGCTTTTGGCGAGAGCGTTAAGTACCCACGTTTTATGGGTCTGGCCGTATGACTCCCTGAGGGTCACACCGATGTGTGTGTCAGGGCTGTGTGTTCAACAGAAGCTCCCCAAAGCACTTGAACTGAGGTCATTCTTTTGGTCTTGCTTCCCAGGCTGAAAATATACATCAAAAACATACTGAAAGGCTGCTTCTTCAAACTAATGTCCTTGCTGAGAGCCCAGATTGGGAATTTCTCAGATCTATGTCTATAAACATTTCATATAATGTTGCATTTACATGATGTAGCAGTACAAATCCATCTTGTTTTTCCCCTGGATACTCCCTGTTGGATAGGAGCAAACACTCAGCTGAAATAGGTGAACAGAATATGATGTAATACCTAAGTGAAAATGTTATTTTTTGTAGAGCTGAGCTAAGTCCCCAGAATGACCTTTTATTCAAGTCAAAACTTGTGATTTGCTTAAAGAAAAAAAAAAAGAGTGGGGAGAAAAGGAGAAGAAAGGAGAAAATACGTCATTGTGTTTTTCTTTTTTTTAAGAAATAATTATTTTCTATTGTTCTGCAAGGAAAGAAAAAATTCCTTGTCCTTTTTAGGTACAAAAGAAATCCCACAGACTTAGAGGCACTGTGACTATCATTGGAAGCAGTGGACTCTAGAGCAGACGTAATATTTGCGCTAGGCGGTGAAATAAAGAGGCATTTGAAACTGCGCTAGGATGTGTATTTTCATAGTGCCTTGAGGGCTGTGATTTTGGGTATTATTTGAGGAGCCTGGATGCGAGGAGCAGGCGGTGAAGCTGAACAGCTGTATCCTGCCCACACACTGCGAGAGAGGGAGAGGCTGGAAGCCCCAGGGGCTGCCTGTAAGACGTGGTGTCCCTGAAGTTTTGCAACAGAGAAGTTGCGCAAAGACGCACGCTATAGAAGCAGTGCTGGGGAGACTATTCCCGCCCCCCAACCCTGCAAAATAGCATAAACACCATCTTCTGTCTGTATCCCCTTGTTTATTTATTTTGAAATAAAATAGTGCCTGTTGCTTTGAAGTCCTAGGAGCGATGGGTTTCGTGCCTGGGTAGGAAAGCGAAGGAAACTGTTAGCAATCCTGGCACCACGTGCTGACCATTCCACATATCCGATAGCTAACGCGGATTTAAGGATCTGAGCAGGGCATAATGCACTCACTCACTCCCTGTGAGTTTAATTGTTTAATTGAAGGATCGCTATTAAACTAGGTAATAGATAAGCTTCCTGCCATCTGCAAGGGCCACTTCTCTGTGAAAGAAACTGCCACAATAGCAGCAACGGAAGAGAAAATTCTCTGAATTATTTAGAGTTGCCAAAGGTGTTGAGATAGCGGCTAATTAAAAAAAAGAAAGAAAGAAAAAAGCTATCAGCAATGCAATGCTATAAAAGAATAATAAAATTCAAATCTCATTTGTTCCACTTCAGGTTCCTCGTGTGCATAAAACTCTATAAAAGGCAGCATCTGTGTTCACATTGTACGCTGAGAAGATATCACACAACCACTAATTCAATTGACATTTTTAACTGTTCATTGTACCATATATTTCCATTTACTAGATTTTTTAAGCCCCTTTAAGTGCATCATGTATAGAACAGGATAAAATAAGATAGAGCCGTTTACTTCCATAATGAGATTGGTGGTGGGAAGTGACAGAGCATTGAGCTGTCAATTTGTGTGCCAGCCATACTTGCAAGGCTTAAAATTGTGTTGTAAGCTTTTATACCAACCAGAGATTGTATTCAGACTGGGCTAGTTATGTGGATTTGTGTTGCAAAGAGAAGCATGATGGAATATTATCTCATTTGAACTAACAATTTGAAGATCACTCATCTGTTATGATTGGAAATGAGATAGATTATCGCAGCAACAATACCCATCACCAATTGTTAAATAATAACATTTTTAAGCTCTGATGACAAATTGAGGCTTTATTTTAATCTCCAGTGGGAGGTACTGAGTTGTGGTTTTCACATACCCAGGCCCTTATACAAGAGGAAAGGAGAATTTGGGGTTCTTTTTTCAATCATTTGGTTTTGCTTTTCTCTTTATGTATGTGTATGCTTATAGCTAAAAGGGAACCCTTTCTTCTGTGACTGTTGTTCCACATGGCAAATTCGTGATGAAATCAATAGGAACGATTGTTTTTGAGCTCTGTGGCAGGATTGGCTTGAAGCATACAAATGAAGCCCAAGAACAGTCACCTGAGCTCTCCTAGATGGGCGAGACACAGACATGTAAGGCTTAGAAGTGGCCTTGCCATCTTCTTTGCTCTTCCCGTGTTGCCCCAAGGCCAAAGGAGCAGCAGGCTCCTCCCCAAACTGAGACAGATTTAGAAAACAAGCAAACAACCCCCAAATTAAATCCAAGAGACATCCACACACCTCTGCTCAAGCCTGAGGTGAGCAGTGTAAGTTTGGTGTGGAAATAAACACATGGGGCCTCTCTGGAAGCCCCAGGTTGGTGTGTATCCTATCTGCCCATCTCTGCAGCGGCCAGCGCGGAGGCAGCTTCCTACACAGCTTTGCTCGCACCGCGCTCCCCACGAGGCGCCTGTGTGTTGAGGTCAGACCACCCAGCAGAGCTGTCTGACGTGGTTATCAGGAGACGTCTGGGAAAGCCAGGGAAGATGCAGCCAGCTGCTCTCCACACAGTCACAGCCAGCTTGGTGAGGTCCATGGGGAGAAGAAATGATGAGGCCTAAGTGGGACAGAGGCAGCCAGTGGCCTAGGGCAGCAGCGGACTCTGCTCAATGGTAACTGCTTTGAAAATTGCATTGGCCACAGCAGGGTGAGCACAGGTGCCAGATGCTGTGAGAGGAGAGTTGAGGTTTGACAAGGTGCCAGAGAGGGAGCTCCAAGGTCCTCTCCACCCCGAGGCCTGGTCAGTGATCACGATTTCAGACCTGGGCATCTGGCTGGTTCTTTTAAAGGCTTTGGGAATGGCCCCCTGCCTCCCTGTGTGCCTTGCAAAACGGGTCTCTGCATCTATTACTGAACCTGAATCATATTAAAGCTAATCTAGGTGATCCTCATAGCCTTTTCTGGCCTCAGAATTCATGAAATGTATTAACCTCTGCTAGATGAAATAACACTTTCTGGAATAAAATCATAATGATTATTCCTTTAAATATTTTAATACTTAAAACTGGCAGTCTCTGACACTTTTATGCCATTTTATCTTTCCCAGAATAAAAGAATATATATAAAATCTACACAGAAAACCTCTTCTAAGATTTTTCATCTCCCAGCTTTTGCCTGCTCCCTCCTGAGACTCCCTAATTTAGCAGGCCATGATTTTTCATAGCTAGTTGATATTATTAGCTATGATGGCAGACCTTCATTTCTTCTCTTTGTGGATAAACTAGTTCCTCAGCCAGTTACTTAACTTCTCATGGTTATTTTGGGAGGAGGTGAATATCTTCTTTCCAAAGCTTCAGCTGCTCGCCAAAGCACACTACATTAAATTTACTTAGCACAAAGCCATTACTACTGTACTTGGCAAAGCTTGTTCCTTCTAAATCAATTGTATTTGTCTTGCACAGTGAAACTATGAGGATCACTCATAGCAAGCACATTTACAGTTCCCACCAGCAGCGAAACTACCTCAAAGTATACACACACAAATGAGCATACACAAACACACGCACACCCAGCTCCTTGCCAAAACAAGAGAAGTTGGGCCTAGATTGGATGGGAAATCAGATATAAAACAATTTTATCTTTTTTTAACTCACTCCCTTTCCTTATTCTAATACTCTCATCTCTTTTACGAGGTCCAGAGATCCAGAAGCAGATACTGTGAAGTTGTAGGAAAGGTGAGCTCTTTTTTTTTTTTTACAG